AACTAGCTACGCCAATGGGGATAGGGACTGACAGCTCTCACTATGCCCCACTCACGGCCCGACAATCATAAACACCAGATTTGCTCTTTTTGCGAATGATTTAGCTACTTGGAAGCACCCATGAAGTGGTCACGCTCACCTGCTCTACTATGTCGTCGTACGTTAGGGTGACATGCGTGAAGTGCGCATGACATATGTACTACGTGTAGCTGAGTGTGGCACTGTTCACAAGTTACTGCGAACCAAATTGTACATGTATTTTTTGTAAATCTATGTATTGCTAAGTTGCGGTGAACCGGTGCAAATTTAATGTTGTTTCCCTTGCTACTATTGAGAAGAGAAGGGAACTGCAGAAGATGGTGACTACTCGCCTTGGTAATGTCGAATCTATCGCCTCAGTGAGCGAACTGTGGCATCAAATTCGTGAACAGTAACGGCTTTGACCGAGAATACCATCGGACGCGCAAACTGTAAGAGATCCGATTGAATTGACGATAACAATGCGACCGTTAGCGCATTCGTTTCGGAGAAGAATGTAGCATCTGTCTCGTATTTGATGGATCCTGACGATGCAGTGAAGTAAAAACATGGACCGCGATTGACTCTAGAGCTCCGTCACATTAAGAATTCATAGTGGACGGAGAAGGCGGAGCAGATGGAATTCTATACCTAACGCCGCCCACACATGAAGTTCTCTGATCCTTTGAAGGCTGTATATGGACCCGTGTCAGCAACTGAGAACCATGATGGATGCTTCTTCAAGCGTTGACTACGCACAGACTTCAGACATGATACAAGCTGTAGAACGCATTCCAGCAGTACCTTGAACGACCTTTCAGAAAGTGACTAGCTTAGGTTGTACGGGCTGCAACAACAAGAGATGATGATGTGCATCGCCGATACATCGACACTGGATGAGGCATAGCAAACACTTGCTACACTGAGAAACGGCAACTTCGTCGGAGTCAACGGGATGCCTCCAGACGTGTTAAAACAAGGCATACCCGCGCCACATGGTGTAGCGCGTGTGGGTTTTACAGGAGGTGCCGGCTTACTTGAAGGATGTCACTATGCTATCAATGTACAGGAGTAAACGAAGAAATTAAAGTGCCGTGACTTATTGTGGCATCCAGTTGCTCAACTACCTCGTCAATCACGTCGTCGAACTGCAAGCGGCAGAAAAGCAACGCGGATTCCGTTCTGACCGCAGCACCATAGCTGTGGTGTTCGCTGCTTGTCAGTTGCTGAAGAAATGCAGAGTGCGATATCAGGCATAATATTCGCTGTTTATTGACCTCAAAGCATTTGACCCGGTGAATTGCGAGGCACTTTGTTTGGTGTCTGGTAAGTTTGGTCGTCCGAGTAAGTTTGTTATTTTAATTGTAAACCTACGCAGTGGTATGCGGATGAAGGTGCAGCTGAGTGGACAGACCTCGGATGACGTTGCATTTATCTCTGGTATGAAGCAAGGCTGTGTCTTAGCTCCTGCCCCTGTTTAATATTTTCTACATGCCATGATGTCTTGTGTCTTTGATACGGTTTGTGCTTACGATGTTCGTGTGAAGCACCGTATTGATGGTGCGTTGCTGAACATCCGTCGTTTCGGTACGAGAACCCTAATGTGCGAGACAAATATCCGTATGTTGCTGTTTACCGAGGACTGTGTGTTGTTTGAACACAGCGCGGATGTGTTACCGCACATGACCGGCTCTTGTTTCGACCAGGGCTAAATTCGAACTAACCATCAACACGAACAAGGCTGATTGTCTGTTTTAGCCTTCAGTAGGAATTGGATCCTTTTGCCTCCAGTAAATCCACAATGACAACTGGGGTTTGGAAATCACCTCCCGTCTTGCTATCTGGGGAATGTACTCTATACCGACCTGCAGATAATGAAGGAGCTGGGCGTCCGTGTATCGAAGAACGCTGCCGCATTTGAAAAGCTGGATAATCGAGTGTGAAACAATTACCAGCTTACCGTTGGAACGAAACTGATGGTATACAAGTCTATAGTGTTGTCTGTTCTTACCTAAGGCAGCGAAACCTGGACGCTTTATCCGAAGTACGTTCGTTATTTGGAACGATTTTAACAGTGCTTGTGTCGTATTCTGTGCGGCGGCTGGGGTCACCGACTCGCAGACAGGGAGGTGCTGCGCAGCAGTAGGTTGTATACTTCTGCTGCGGCGCCTCAGGTGGCTCTGGCATGATCGCTTCATGCAATCGACTCAGATACCGAAACAGCTATTTTATTACCAACTGTGTGCTAGGAAGCTGAATGTAGGAAAACCGAAGTTACGTTGTCAGGACATGAACAATGTAAGTTTATCACGAATTAATATGCGTTTCACATTTTAGGAATCAGAGACAGTTAAAGGACGCAATTAACGTGAGCTCATCAAGAAGGCGGTTGCGTAAGTGCATGAGGAAGCACTATTGTATGCGGAAAAGAAACACCGTATACAGAAGCGACAGGTACTATCTAGCGTGGCCTATTAACACCGAGAGCATAGTGCTGTAGCACATGCAGTCGCCAATGCCTGAGCCAAGCGGGTTTAGTACGGCGAAATATTAACGTTGAAAATATAATCATCATCAGCACAGCGCATAGTAAGTACTCGGTTTCCGATTCAGTTCCTTTTAGTAACCAAATTCAAAAATTTGCTTGGTGTGGTGCTTGTACTATATACTCGCTGTAGTTAGTCTGCTTGTGTGTCTGCATGTTGCCTTTCGTGCATTTCAGGTGTTGGCTGTTATTTGAAATCCCCTGAGTAGCTGCGCCTGATGCGAATCTTGACGAGGTACCCACCGAGATAACACCTTCCACTTCGATTACTGGCTGCAGCAGACTAGTTGTCGTTGCTGTGGGGTTAGAGGTGTACGGCCCTCGTGATGTTGTTAGGCTTAAAGAGGGGGTTCCATGCGTCCAGTGTGAAGCGTGCGACGGCCCAGCCACTGTCTTGTGTTTGTTTGGTATGCATGCTTTTCAGATTAGACAGACAGGAATGCTGCTGCCTTGCGTGTTCAAAGAATAAGAGCCGACGCGTTGATGAAACGTGGCTCCCATCCACATGCCTCCCGGTTTTATTCCTTCGGGTTTACTCTGGATATGGGTGTTTGCATGGAGCTGCATGTGGTCCAGCACAAACCACCCATTATCTCTGATAGGTTCAGGCCTGCTGTGGTTTCTCTATGGATGTCACCAACGATCGCAACATACGGATCATTTACAACAATTCATAGGGAACAGCATTCTGAGGAAAACGAATGACAAACGGTAAGCATGCAATGGAATTAACTTTGATTGGTTCAGTGGTTTGTACCGAAATAGGTAGGTCGATGCTTTTACTACATATAGTTTGTCTTTGTCTCATTCTCACAAATCGACTGATGGTTACCTAATTGCAAAGCCTGAACGGATGCCAGAGTAAAGGCTAGGTTGCAAATCTTTTTGCCACTAAAACAGGAGTTGGAATATTCAGAACGCGTTAGCCTCTGCGGTGGCGCTCATTATTAACCGCAAACCTTTTGAGTCGCTCATTCGAATTTGATGAACTACGGTAAACGCTTTTGATAGATTTACTCGGTGTCCTAATGTGAACAAGTGGGATAAAACACTGTAAGAAGTCCCGCGACCACGTTCGCAACCAGTAGAGCTAAGTTCCTTGATGCGATGAGACAGTTGACAAGCCTTTTGATCAATATGTGCCACACCAAAGATGCCCTCAGATAGAGAGTTTACAGAGGACGAGGTCAACTTTAGCTGTCTGCCTTTGTGGCTTACAGGAATTAACCGGTTCATGGCTAAGATACATCTTAATTCCTCAGCCGGAAAAGTGTTCCATATCGGATATAACAATTCACTTTTGTACGCCCAGTAGTAGTATCATTAGTAACATCAAAGGGATGGATAGTGCGTTTTTTGAACCATTTGCTTAACGTTCGGTGTCAGTTTGTTTTGCATTTTGCGCTGAATGAACTATTCCGGATAACCAATTTCTTACACCGTACTCTGCATTAATTGATCTCATCTTTCATAGCGCTCTTGATGTGTGGCACTGTACTAGCTTGCGCTTATAGTAAGCGGTGCAAAACGGATGAAATCTATATTTTGGAAGCCCACGTCTTCTCCCTGTTGATCTTCCTCAATAAGGCAATATCATTGTACGAGATATTATTGCGCTGCATGTACCTGCCGATCTTCTTCTTCTCACTGTGCTTTTCAAATTGTTGAGGGAAACTAACTTTTTTTAAAATATCATTTCGTCCACTCAGGAGTACATCCAGGAATGTGAATTGGCACCTTTGTTCAAGTTCGTAGATAAAATTATTTGCTGAGTGCGCACCATAAAACTACCACTATGTCTTTCAAGCTGATGTTCTAGTCGCTTACGTAAAAGATGTTACCCATTTAGACAAAGTAAGGATCGAAACCCTATATTGTATACTCAATGATTAAATTTCTAATTTAGCAAGAAAAACATCCATTTGTACTAGTCCGAGTGGGGATTCTATTTGGACATCAAGCAATACATATCGTCAAAAAGAAACCGAACCAATCACTGCTCAGACTTAAATGTATATATATATATATATATATATATATATATATATATTTATATATATATATTTCCACTTTCCTCTAACCGCGTTGGGTGATCGAAACCATTTGCACTGAAAAAGTGAAGCCAACTTCCTTCGCCATCACACCAATGCACTTGAACAAAATAACTGTGCCATGTATATACAATATTCTTCGAGCAACAGCAGGATACATTTCTGTTGCTCACGATATCAGTAAGTATTATATTAGCAGGTGGAGTGGAATGGAAGCACTGTAGTTGAATCCCCCAGCTAGTTAAATGCTTGAATGCAGTCGCATAAAATAATTGATAAAACATCTCCCAACTTAGTCAATTTCATTTGACGCCGCCTCCCTCTGATTTGTCTCGCGTTAAAAAGAGGCACTTCACATGACGGAATCTTTGGAACACTCCTTCACAATGCTTCATGCTAATACAACTGGGCCAAATGAGACCGCATCGCTATGTTTCTGCGATTGGTATGTACTATCTGGGAAATGGTCACCGCTTGACACATCTGAAGCACTCAGGTTCATGGATTAGTTTCCATGTGTTCCACTTCATTTTCTGATGTCACACATGTTTTCATTTGAGAATTGTGTATTCTACCAAAAGGAACAGTGGTAAAATGTCTACGGTGAATAGGAGTAAAAGCTCGCACGGAGTTAAAAAGTCAGACACCCAGCTGTAAAAAAGCTTGTTAAAAACTGAACCTCTTTCAGGGCTCCTCAACAGGGAATCTTCGTTTGACTTCCTTAGTGCCATATAGTTCTGGTTCCTTTGGTTCTAAACAGATTCCTACAGCTTGTGTAATTCAATTACCAAGTATACTATAGTAAACAGGGTTCACTTACACAGAGCGAATTAAGAAAACATACGGGAGAAGGTATGGTTTTTCAGTGCAGCTTCTTGCAAAGCGTGTGATCAGGCTCATTGGTGGTTATAAAGTGTAGCCGTATTATTTGAACTTGCAAATGCACCTTTAGATCAGTGGAAAGCTTCGAGATGGATGACTGAAGTGTGTAGACTGGATATGATTGTCCGGATGCTTAGTTTTGAGTAACAACCTCCACAACGTAGTGTTGTTAGATCGACAACTGTGGTTCGGAAAAAGGATGAAGTTTGTCTGATGAAAGCTCACTACCTTCCGGAACACAACCACCAAACTATTTGCCGGAACGGGGTAAATCTGAAGCATCCGGCTGACACCACGATGCGAATGTTCTGCTAGTCAGCTGGGAGAGATTTGTACTGAACAAATTTTTGCATTACCTTGGTGCAGTCAATTTATGGATGAGACTAAAGCAAACCTCCGCAAACAATTTTGACCATTGGACCCATGCATCACAATGTTCGTTCATGGGTTCCGGAAATACATCAAAATTTGCTACTAAGTTGGAGCCATTTGCACAAGTGCAAATATTAGGTCAGCTATATTGTTCACTAGTAAATGCGGATCTATCCAGTAATATGATTTCCGGCAAGATATTACACGAATTTCTTTCACAGGAAGGCTGACTAAGTGCAAATTATTTATTTTCTGTGGATAATAATTGGATAGCATTTCAACTCTAAGCGTTCAGCAGTTGTATGATCTTCCGTCTGATGCGATATTCGGATAGTATGTATTATCCTAGGGGCAGTGGCTTCCGCTAGCATCTCGAGTGTCTCGGACTCAGATAAAGTCTAGTCAGCAATAGAATTAATGCCTACAGGAAACGTGAATTTTTGGCAGCCATGTTGTATCTACATGGTGAATGCAAATAAGCGCAAACCTGTCCTGAACTTTAGGGTTACGAGCGAATACCGCCTAACAGCCAGACACTCAAGGGGTTCGACCGAATACATTGTACGCCAGTGGTCTTCATAGGGCATTGAATATACAGTCGCCCTAGTTCATATCTGCGAGCACCTGTTATTACGGCAGGACCATACCTGGCGTTTCCGACGCACGACGCTCGACCCTACGTCCACATTTGAATTAGTCCAGACCTCGTTCCTCCGATAGGTGCAATCAGAAGATTTTTCAGTCAATTTACTTCACATAATCCTTGAATGAATCTCACTGAGGTCGCCTGTAGTCTGCTAGCAGCACCTGGTTAAACTACTACGGTACAGCCTCTTATCGTGTTTCCAATAGGTCTATCAGCTCCATTACAGGACTATGTGATGAGAAAGCGGCAGTTTTAGGATACTGCTAGAAGCCATTCACAAGTTCTTCTATGGTTGAATTCAGTGGTTGCAAGAGGATTGCAAAACGGCTGATCAACCCAGTTCATCCGAGCAGAATCGTGAATCACCTAGCGTACTTCTCACGCATGATGCAAACGTAGGTCGTTATCGCATATTCGAATTGGAGTTTAGTGCTGGTTCATGTAGACACAGGCTGTAAGGGCTTAGCCCCGTCTTCCGGCAGCACTTGAGTAAACCCCGTTGGCCTACGGACGCCTGGACGTGGGCCCCCACAATCCGCCCCCTACAAAAATATACTTCTATTGTGTCGGGAGCGTGTGTGTGTTCAAGACGGCTTACGCCGTAGCGTACCTGGTGTTCAATATAGCGAATATTCACAGGATGCTTATCGTCCTACTCCCTCACGCCAGTTACTTGTTCCAGAAGGCACCACTCTTCCCTGTAGAATAAGGAGCACACGGCTTCGAGACATTCTTAAACCGAAGTGTGATTCTATCACGGAGCAGGTTACGATTCCGCCACCACACTACTGACTTCAGGGGATGCATTTTCCTTAACGCTTTACACTAGTGGTGAGTAGGAAGAGTGATGGTCGCCCCTGAGTCAGCCGTGGCCCCAATCCGCATGCTTAGCTGTAGCAGTGGCCCTTACAGCTGGAATAGCATTTCGCCAACCACTCATTTGATCGACGATCAGGTTTACTCAAACTTCAATGTTTGCAAAGTATAGTGGTGCGTCAACTTCTCATATCATGGTTTATGTTATGCTCTTTTCTAAGGGAAAAGTCTACCCGTCTTAAAACAGATCTCTTAGGAGGTAATTTGTCTGGGGAATGTCCCATCGGCAGATACGAGAAAGCTAACGAACGCAACTAGTCGGCCGATATGTGTTTGTCAACCAGTGGTTTTCACTAATCATCTTAACGGTTGGCTGGTTATCCTAGATACCAAGTAAGCAGCAGCGTCTTTAAAGAGAGCAGGGTGACTCTAATTCTTGCTTTACTGTTCTCCCCCATCAGGTTTGGGAATGGGGTTTTACTTGTCATCTCTGTGTCACATTGTCTAAAGCAACAAGGCTGGGATTATGGATCAACTAATTTTTGAGTACGTCAGAGAGATACGTGGATGGGAGCCACATTTCATCAACGGAGCCGGCCCACGCTCCTTCAACATACACAGTAGCAGCATTCCTGTCAATCTATGTGGAGAATCATGCTTACCAGACCGACGGACAGAGAGCGGTGACTGAGCCGTAGTTCGCTCCACACTGAATAGAACCCCTCCAAAAACCTAGCACGGTCACAAGGACCGTGCACCCTGTCCCCCCTCCCCAGCAAAGATTCACAGTGTCCTGGATTCAGTAATCGAAGTACAGGGTGTTAGACTTGTGGGCACATCGTTAACACTCTTCAAGCGCAGCCACACAGGGACTATCAGTTATAAGATAACACAGGAAATACAAGCAACTAAACACGCATGCGTCCTCACAGTCCAACTACAACAATGATGTCGCACATGTACCACATCGACCGCCTTATTGGCCTGGGTTAGTAAATGCAATGGAATCGAAGCAGCGTAGTTACCAAACGCTGCGTTGATGAGGAGCACATATTCAGTTGTTCACTCGTCTTTTCTTAGCTGTTGGCCTCACGTGTCCACACTGGTGGCTTGCCAAGCATGGTGCTGTTGTGCAAGCGGTTGCTAGTGCCTGCGCCAAGTCTCCCACATACGAATAATCAAACACCCCATGGAGATCATTGTACTTGCTTAAGTAAGCTCTCACATCTCTAATTCTTAAAGCTGTCTGACCAGGAACCGCCTGCAACGGAACGCCTGCGAACTTGTCTTCAAAGCCCCATACTACCCAACAATCGGATTAACCTGAACAAGTGACACGCTGCCTCAACTGGCGGCACCTTGCAAGAGAAGCTGTGGCTCAAGGGAATCTGCTCATAAAATGCATAACAGTGGGGGATAAACCGCGGTACCTTGAAGCCAATTACCAATAATGATCGTCCGCCTCCGTCATCCATGTGAGTGGCATATGCCGCTGATTTTTAGTCCCACACATTGATGGACTAGACTCCCCGAAGTAATCTGGCAATACGCGTGGTCCATGGGTCCCCAAGATGACGGTACGACCATCCAGCACATGGCTGGGAACTGGTTGCTACGAACCCAGTCCAACGCTACACCAAAAGACCTCCCCCACTCTTTCTTTATGTCCTTAATGCTAAGGCATAAGGTTGCAGTGAGCTTAAATAACCCTGTTTCCACTCTGTCGACCACTTCTCCGCGCCTATGGACAAGGTGCTAGCGCACGCGTGGTCGAAATCATTTGATGAACGTACAGTTTTACCTAAATACTTGGAGTTAGTAGCTCTGTTCTTACTGAACATCGCATACCCAGCTTTCGTAACGGACTACGAAACCATTTGCAAGGTTAAGCCCAAACCAGTCGCCAACAAAGGCCACCCCAGGAGTAATATTTATGTGTGGTGCTCCAACGTAATCCACCGCGCGAGGGCCGACTCCGCTTTCCATCGAGTTGTACAAAAATGCTGAATTGTTTCTGTGTAGCAGTTGGTGTTTTCCGCTTAACCCTCTGTACAACAGAAAGGCTTAACAGGTATGCGTTTCAAAAAAACTTTTGAAGGTCACCAAATATAGAACCACATAGCTGGTAACCGTTTCCCCGATTATGTACAATAGTTAACCTTGTCGCATACCGCTGACCTGAGCCACCCTCTCTTCCGTTCAGGGGTTCACGGCTGAACGGTGCGCGTAATGGCCGACGAAATGCTGCTGGAAGTCGCAGTGCGGGAATTCAGAGAGATCGGAAACATCCAGTGGAAGTGAGTCGAGATTTATTATAGCACTATGGATAAGGTTCTGTTGAAGATGTGCTAACTTTACAATCGCGTGCAGATTATAATGTAGGTTAACACTCTTCAGTAGTGCTAGGAATGTGCGGCAGGTAATAAAGACCAGTGACTATCGAGTGCGTTGATTTTGTTTGCATGGAATGGCTAGCTTGTCTTTATTTCAATAAGACGCAAGCGAAGTACTTTGCACTGTGTTTAGATTTTGCACAGACTTCTACTTGGTCCGGTTACATTCGCTGTGTTTGCATCTCATCCTTTCTCAACTCCCACTGCATTTGCCGTTTTGTTTACATCTTGTGGACGAATCGAGGCAAGTCTAAGCACAGTCGGTCGATAGAACTGTGCATTGTGAGTTTCCAATTTGTTTTGTAAACGTCGAGTCAAGGTGCCATTCTTGTTAAATTGGATAAAACTTCATATTCCCTTGTAATTTTATCTTTTATCCGGTTGATTCAGTTTTGGCTACAAATTCCCACGTCGCACCACATGTTCCACGATCGGAGCTTAAATTGGCAGCACTTACGGCTATATTTTATTGTTGCCTACAGTATACCAGCTTCTCCGTCCAAATTGGACAAAGATGTATCCACGGCTATGTTGATCACTTCCACCATGATTCAAATGTTGATTGGAGCATTCTTTCTATGTCATATGCGGTTTTTTATGCACTGTATGCAAGATACTACCGGCTTTAAAAGAACTTGATCCAAATTTTGCTACCTAACAAATTTAACCTCTTTTGCTCTTTTACCCTCTTGCGTCCACCACGATTTGAACGCGCTTTCCTAATTTTGAATGGACAACTTGGGAGTGCACCGTAATGCCCATATTCCCGATCCCATCTCCATTTTGTTTAGAAATTACAACAACGACAGATGAACCCGTTCAGTTTCTTCGAGGTTTGTGTGCACTTCTATCCCAACTGCCTTCGGGTGTGCTTCGTGTACCGCTGTGCCTTGCTTTACACCACAAATTCATCCTCTTAACGCTGTGATCCTGTCCCTCTCTATCTGCTTTTTTTAACCGCTACCCTTGTGTTTGCTTTCAATCATCGTTCCTGCGCAGTACTCTGGGGGGAATTTCAGCATTTGATCCCGTCCACCACCTGTCCTTTCTTTTAGCTTCTTGAAGAACTAAGTCGAAATGTGGGTTGGGGCACACCCAACTTCACTGTCCTGCCAACAGATTTTGTGGATACCTTGACTGGCAACAAATTTCAGCTATATATCGGACAAGTAAGTAAAAGTTTCTCCCGAATAGGTCACCGATGTGCAAATGTGCCTGGAAACTTTTAACCAAAAGCCGTTGCCTACACTTTCAACGTTCTTACCCTTGTGTACAAAGCAATAGAATATTCAGATACCATACAGGTGTGCGGTTAGCCTCCATTTTTCCTACTTGTATTAATGACTTAAGCACTTTAATAAGAAGGATAGTAGGGATGATATCTTTTTCTTGGAACAATCTCAACACAGTATTCCACGTCCACAACTTTAAAAGCCTCTGTCGTCACGACATGGTGCCCGCTCTGGACTAAATGTTGCAAAATAGCACTGTTGGCCCTTTTGACTGCGTGCTTCCATGACGCTGCTGGGCAATGTTCTGATACAAACGCCGAGGTTGCTCATTTACTAGATCAGTTCAATAGCGCGCACTCCAGTTTACAAGGGAAATTGAAAACGAAGGAAATATAACATTTCTGGACATACTGCTAAGCAGACGAGAGAATGGCGCACTCCAAAGAAGTGTCTACCGAAAGCCGACCTGGATAGGCCAGTACACACATTTCCGTAGCTTTCTACCATTAAAGTACAAACGAAACTTAGCGCGTTGCCTGTATTATCGCGCCAGCAGAATCTGTAGCCCCGCAACTTTGGAAACCGAAAAGGATTTCCTCCTTAGGACACTACAAGATAACGGTTATCCTATTCTATTTATTCAGAGACACGCTGGGATCAGTGACCAAAGACAAACTATCGTGACCGTGCCAAAATATGAGGTTTATCTTACTGTTCCTTTTAAGGGAGATGTTCCCTTTGAGCTGCTGAACAGAAGACTCCAAAATGCAGTGGCCATGTCTTTCCCTGCTGCCTATCCGCACGTTATTGCTGAAACTGCCCCGTTTATAACCCAGCGTCTTAAGGATCGACTCCCGGTCTAGTCCGAATCCTTAATCCTATATCAATTTACTTGAATCTGTAGTGTAAGATACCTCGGACACACGACCTGACCCTTGGCCGATCGGATAGCAGAACACTGCCCAGCAGCGTTATGGAAGCACGCAGTCAAAGGGCCAATAGTGATGTTTTGGAATATTTAGTCCAGAGTGGGCTTTTAAACTTCCACGTTCAGCTTTCTCTCGGAGTGAGCACTTTGGTTGCAAAACTTCCGTGGGTTTCGTTTCACTTTTGACTAGCGGAAAGTAAATGGGAGTGGGCTAAACATGCTGGATCATAAGTAACTGGCTGAGTAGGGAGTTCACAGTTGGATGCAATTCCGAATTCGCACTGCGCCAGTCGGTGTAGAGAATTCGGATGGCGAACCGCTAACCCCTTTCAACCACTCCGATTATGCAACAGAACGGCCCGAAATCACCGCGACATATCGTGTTTATATCTGCTTGTCCAAGCAATAAAAATTCCCATATCCAGTGATTGTGTCCAGCTCAATGTGGGTCGCTAACTTCTGGTCAACATTCCCAAAACTCGTTGAAACGAAGCGAATTAAGTAGACACTGCTTACCCGCATGGCGACCAACAGCAACGAGAGCTGTTTACACCTATCGTTCTCGAAACCGTGTGTGCGAAAACTGTCAGTCATGACAGGGACCGTGTTATCTGCAGTGGTGTGGTTCGATGCAACATACAACCGGCGCAAGCTGACACTTGGATTCACCGATAAGCACACCGCAATAACTCACCGAGATCACTCGACTGTTTCACTAGTCAGTTCTACCCTCAAGCGTGTGGTAACCAGCCCGGCAACCAGCGCATGTTGTTTGTCGCTTGCAAACCGGTCACATCGTCGCCTCTGTGGTGTTACAAACTCAGAGGCAGGCCTTGGTGAGCGATTGGTGGTGTAGTTGTCTACACCAGGCTGAATAGCAGGTGTGGTAAGGTGCCGCGTTTACTGCTATCAACAGCCACACCTGCGAGTTCATGTCTAAGCACTGTAATTAGCATACTATCTGGCGGCGAAATTGGTCAAATTGTCCAAAAGGTGAAAATCGTGCGTTCCATCAGTGCGGTTAAGCAGATTACATTATTTTCACAGCAAGCGAGTGGTCATCCATGCCTACATTATTGGAGTTCCGGTACAGCAATACTGAGGGTAAACGGATCAGTTTATCCAAACACCAGCTCAGTAGTACGCTTGGTTGCGTATGCACTATAAAACTAAATGGTGGGAGCACCGTCACCATCCTTAGTGGGACCCGGTAATCGACCCAGGAATCACGTCCAAGAGAACCACTTTGTAAAATCGAATATCCACCTCATACACTAGAGCACACCTCCACTTTAGTGTGCTGACATTATTTTCCCTAGGTCATGGTTTGACGGACAGCATAGTGTAGCTGTAGACAACACTTGGACCGGTGATAACATATACATTACTGGAACGGTGGTTAACTGCCTGGTTTCCAGTCCAGACCTGAGCAATTTAATGACGCCTTGTCCTTACTGAACTCTCGTGGGAGAGGCTGCAGAATCCTGGGCTCGATTCTCGATACTACTTAAGAAGCGTACACAGCGTCCCATTGCAGACAAGTTTTAACTTGAATTGGAATTCACTGAGTTGTCCTCTATGTATGCTACAATATGTGGTTTCTGTTTACTGTTTCACACCGATTCGGTCGAATATACTCACATGGGAATTTTGACGTATTTCTGGCGGTCGGCATGTTTCTACTCTCATGCGAGTCTCTCGGCTACCTATATTAGACGCCTCCTTAAACAAAACTATCAAGTGTCATCGTCTCAACTCAGTAATGGAACCGCCAATAAAATTTCGAGGTTGGGATCGCGGTGGCTTGATTACGCAATCATGACTACATGAGTGGGTCGATAGAGATTAGGATGCCATTGGAGAATTTTCGCTTTATCCTACCGATTTGATGTGTGCTCTTACAGTGTCATCCCTATCTATTAAATTGGGTTCTTATGCAATTCCGATGGAGCATCATACGGTGCTTGTCTTCTTCTTAGGTTTACCTGCCTAATCTGCGACTGCAATATCAATCTCCACGATATTATGCCACTCCTGAGGAAGCCAAGATTGGGGCTTGTGAAATGGCCATATTGCATTTGCAATATCACCAAGTTATGTCAGCTGATGGTGAGTTCATTTATCGACCGGTTACCATTGTATGAAATATTCCACAAATATCACAAAAGTATGGCTGCATGCAGTGGCATGCTGATTTGCACGACTACCGGTGGAATTTCCATCAGCGCAATCTGCTAAAAAATGCTGTCTTATGGACTGTGCACAAAGTCACGCTAAACTCTTCCATCGGACAGTAATAAATCGTTCCTATGCAGTTAAATTATCTATCAACTAAACAGTCTCAGTTAGTGGGGGGTAAACAATGGACCTGCGTTAGTAGTAAATCATTTTAGCACTTAAGCATTATACTGGGATAAGCAGACAATATGTGAGCAGGTGCATGCTAACAGCGTCTGTTAGTGGTGCGGAGTTTCTCAACGATTTTATTCTATGGAAAGTTGAATAAGCATAGGCGTTTGAAATGGATACCCTTACCAGAATGTATGAAAGGAGTTAACAATTGGAATTTCCATCAGGGTTGCGTAAAGGTCGGGTAGCTTCGCATAACACACACTGGAGGTGCGGTCCTCAAGGATAGCACTCATTCGGTTTGCATTTCTCCTGTCTGCGAAACCTGAGAATAATTCCACTCAAACCAAAACTACCTACTATCTACTGTACACAGATACACAGTGATTCAAATGTGCTATATGGAACGGAGTCGCAGACTTACAGAACACGATTTTCGCAAATTAAACATTTACTGGATGAATTCTTACAGATTCAGACTAACCCCATGGAGCACATTGTAAAGTCCCTTCACTCGGTAATAGTTTATAGACGTTTGCTAAAGTGTTCTACTTTTCATCATTGTTCGGAACATACAAATTGAAAAGTCACAGTGCACTTCAGCCTTTTCCCCAATGACCTACCGTTCAAATGGAAAGTGCTTATGTGTCGCGACTTATCCGATTTACGAAGGTCACTTCTTTCGCCACGCTTGAACTACTCCATGCTTATGTGTCGCGACTTATCCGATTTACGAAGGTCACTTCTTTCGCCACGCTTGAACTACTCCGTGGTGCTGTGTTTCGCATGTTTGGCTTGAAACACATATGACTCAGATTGGAGTCTCTGCCCATGCGTGAGTTTGAGCGCTCCTACAGCATCCGATCCCGCACACAACCGTAAGCAGTCGCATGATAGTGAAGCATCAGTGCGAAGCACTGGTAACGTCTTATGTTCACCACTAAGTTTCTTGTACGATATTCTAAAGTGTCCAATGATTTACGAAACCGTTGAGAATAACTAACACTCTCTAGCTGTTACATAGATGGTGAATGCATTGTGTATTCGAATCTTTGCTACCCATTCAAAAAAACATTGTTGAATAAAAGTGCTCGTGCCAAGTTGAATTAAGTCTCAAGGTAAGTTCATCGAATACGTACATCTTTGGTGTTGTATAAGCACTGGGCTCAGCTAGTTTCCTGCCATTTCCCAGTGTTACCCTGCTACAAGTGCCTGGCGTTGTTCTCATTCTTAACTATCAGGGTAAGCATGCATATAAGCTACTAGATTCGTGTTATAAAGATTCACTTCAGTGATTGGAAAGTCAATTTAAAGTACACTTTGGGTGGAAGGGTTGCGACATGCAATCTCAAAGTGGACCGCGATTCCCATTGAAGTGAACCTTGGCCACTCGAGCACTGGGACCATAGCTGATGAAGCAGTAGCAAATTGGGTGTTGCTCGCCTGAAAACACTGCACTGCATGACGCGTTTCGAGGTTATCTCCTCTCATCAGATAGAGATAGCAGGCATCGAACCCGGGACTATTGGGATGTTAGTTGTGACCGGTACCCCTAAGCCACCGGGTTACGACGGGCAAAGCTTGGCACAACGGTTAATGACAGATTGGAAAGTCCATTTGAAGTACACGTTGCGTGGAGTGCAGTGTTTTCAGGCGGGCAACACCCAATTTGCTGCTGATTCACTTAAGTGCTTCTTGTGATGGACTCCATCTAGGCGATTTGAAGCTGGTACACAATACTAAAGACAATAATTCTGTTACCTCGGATAAGTGAAATTCACAAATTCCTCCTCGCCTAACGGCTTCCGACCGCCTTTTCGATCTGTTAAGACAATAAGTATCTGTATATGTTGTCGTTGGCAATCTGCTTGGATTGCGTCACCATAGCATTGGCAGAGACTATGACCACCATGTAGAGCTATAGAATCAAATTAAAGACATCACAATCAAGCATTTCCGGTGAATCATCACGTGGAGAAAAACTGCTCTAGGCGCTTGCGCACGGCGCGCTGCTATTCCTTTGAATGTATGCGTATCTAAAATCTCAATTTCTTGCTTACGATACGCGTTGGCGCCTTAATATCCCACAACGAGTGTAGTTGAAACCGAATTTATGAGGGTCTCTCACCACTCAGATTGGGTCACTCTCCCCATGATTTGACCTCCAGCTCCAGAATGGCGCCAGGGACGAAAATGGTCCTAAACGAAGGTCGCGCACTCTGGTACAAACTGATTCAACAATGCCCGGACCGGCCAAACAGTGTGGCTCAGTGTTCCACAACTGGTCCCCGCACGTATAGCAGTTAGCCACAGACACCATATTGCACACTACCACCTGTTTCTGGTAGCCGTTTCCATATGGAATGCTTGAATCACCTTGCTTAATTGTCAGTGACATAAGGCTGGATGAAAACTCTATGCAGGTGTGGTTCAGAAAAGTAATTATATGAAAGTTCACAGTGGAACTCGTCAACTTGAATCGAAGACCTCAGCCCCCGCACTCAAAACGAGTGCGTCCTCCAATGGCACTCACCAATGACCCTGGGAAACACCACCCTCTCTGGAAAGTGTGCCCCCCATAAGTATTTGTGTCTTGCTTTCTCTGACCTACTCTAGTACTTTTCCCAACCATGACAAACATGTAGTATGATGGTGACATGAGTTATAACAACTGAACCCGAGGCGTAGCATAAAAGGAGATTCACTCCGAGCGGCATTTTTAGTACCGTGGATTATCCGATACCAAATATAAAGGGCGAAATATCCAGATAAGTTGACGGTTGAAGATTTTAATGTTACTCTGTATGACCAGCAACACATTTATGCCATGTGTCACACACACACACACACACACCAGTAATCCCCTTACTTGTCTCATGGTGGTCACTTCCACCACATTTACCTCAGTGTCCCAAGCAATCAACTATTTTGTTGAAAATAAATGTGCACTTTACCCTGAGCCGATTATGTGGAGTTCACGCGCCTATTCTTCCCTCAGTCAGGACAAAAATTTTACCACCGCCCAGGGAGGCAAAAGTAGTTGCTACGCCACTGCTGAACCCGCTGTAATTCAGTGCCGTCTAACCGAAATGGAAAGGGGTGTACTAGTACTGGAGACCTATACTCATAATTGAATGGCAAAGTTGATAGATAAGGCATGAAAGCAACTCTAACAGGGGATCGTTCTGCGTGTGGGACGAATCAGTGCTGGAAATACCAGCGGATAGTGGCGTGCGCTGATGGAGCGTGTGAAACAATCGGGCGCGCCTTATTCGTGATGGGAGCATCTCCTTAGCCAATGTAGGCATGACGCCCAGGCGTTTTCACAGACAATATCCCGAACAACCTCCATGCAATTGGGCGCTTCAAAAAATCGACTTCACCGTGATGTCAGAGTCAATAGCTTGGCGCTCCGTTATCGAGCATATGGTTGAGGGTGTACACTCTCACAAAACTATCTGACTGCTCCGATTTATTGCATCCGCCACAACGCAGACTAACTGTTGAAAGGACCCCCTGTCAGACTGTCCGATGAATAGGCTTCAGAAGCTGGAACCGATTAGATATGGAGAATAGGCACTCGTGAGCTCTGTGACACGTGCAACACTGCCAGAGCTAAAGCAGCGATCGGGCGCGTGAAGAAAACGATCCACGTTAGTCCCGTTATGGAGATCGTCCTCAAAATAAGGGAGAGTAAATTACCTCGCCAATGTGTGAACCGAAGCAAATTGCAGTGATGCGGTCATAACACCTTACTATTGTTCCCGGGGATGGCTGCAGTGTGCGTGCGGAGTAAACTGCCTTAGCTGCATAGACTTCATGCAGACAATTGTGCGCAGCCAGCGATACAAGGTGCCGAAACGTACAAACTGCTATAAAGAGTGAACACTACGGGAGTATAATGTCTCAAACCTTGATAGGGATTGTCGTCTGAGCTGTATACTACAAGTAACAACGAGCGACGGCACGCGCCGATCGCATTGTGGCACGCCAGTTTCTGACAACAGAGCGGAGTAGCAAATCCATGAGAGCAGTCAACCAAGGCCAACTTCGTTGTCAAATACAAGGAGGATAATTTGAACAAGATTGCAAAACATCCCAAAGATGTATTCAGTCCCCCATCACTTGGCGTAAAATCGACTTACACAAAGGAAGAAATGGCGCGATTTGGTGCGAGCTACCTAGTCCCTAGTGGTTCCCAGTCAGAGCACACACTTCGAGGATGAAAAACAAGTGTGAATAAAGTTTTTGGATCAAATGAACACGAACCACAACGATCACAGTTCATGACGTTAACTTGAGAAAGTGCTCAAATAAGAACAGGCCTAAGCAGACATGACGAATGTGGTCATCCTTATCAACATCAATACATCAACCATTTAAATTGGTGCTTCGCTGCCGTACAACCACAGTGACCTAGGGAATGAAACAAAATAAGAGGGAGAGAAGGAGAAACAGCGTCAAACCCTAATGGCTTAAACACTCAGTGTCGAGGCGCTACGTCTTGTCAATAACATACCGTCATAAATAGCTGGCTATAGTGCAAAGAGAAGGCGGCATCGATGAGACAGCTTCCCTGCGGCTTTCACTGTCCCGTGTCATAATCAGCCATTAGTACGCAGATAAAGCAGTACCAAACACTCTTTAAACAAGCAGTCCAATTACAAGACGACAGCAGCCACGCAGCTGGTGTCGGTTGCGAGCCATGTCCTGCAATGTATCGCGTCGAGCACAAAGCGGGTCACATAAACTCTATCCTGGAAGGCGAGACGGACCGACGTCACCCAATTTGGTT